AGCTAAGGAAAAAAGAAAAAAAGTTTTAATCAAGTACTGGCTAATGCACAAGAAAAAATAACAATAATAATTAAAAAAAAAATTAATAATAATTAAAACTAAAAAAAAATTAAACCTATTGTTATTAACTCTGTATTCTGCAACTTATTTTGAAGCAACCGGTTAATGGCTTTATTTGTAGTAGTGTTGTTCATGATAAGTGCGAACACTTTGTCCTTAATATAATACTTTTCTAAAGTATTCATTATTGCTAATACTATTTCTTCTGCTGTTTGTCCTGATTTTTGAAAACTTAATGTTATGTTGGCGATCCTCCAATTTTCACTAATCTATAATCCTATAATGACAATATAATGACACTTATGAATGGTTGAGTGCCACTTGTCACATGTTAGCAAAATTCACCCAGAAGACTTGGCAAGTATATTTTTAATAAAATCGAATCTTGAATTAAATATATTGCTAGATAGATGTCATGATATTGTAGTTGAATGTGGAACTTTGTATGAATTTGTAACATAACAGAGATTTTTAGCTATCTTATGGAACAACAGGTTGTTAAGAATACTGAAAGATATCCTTGTTTCAATAACCAAATCAATTATTGATTTGTCTATTTCATCTTTCGTAATTTGTTAGAATGCATTGTTTTGAGTCTTGGATAGTGAAGTATTAGGGCATTTTAAAGTATGTTCTTTTAAATGTGTTCTGTTAGTATTTATTGAATACATCCAGTTTTGGTAATGTAGACATTTCCAAGATCTTTTACTATTATTTATTATTTCTATCCAGTGGTCTTTAGTGCAATATGTATTACTAACTATGTGTATTCCAATTTCGCCTGGTATTAAGCTACTTGAAATAGTATTAGCAGAAGATGTCATCAAATTTTCCATTATTAACTATAAATTAAAGCAAAAATTCAAAAAAAAGCAAATAAGATAAGGAGAAAAATGATATAAGATAAAAAGTGAAAAAAAAGAAATATAAAGAAAAAACCATCTAAGAAAAAAGATGAAAAGAAATATAAGGTAAGTAAAAACAAAAACAAAATATAAAGAAAGAAGGTAAAAAACAATTTAAAAAGTGCGAAAGTAGATAAAGCAATATTGATGAAGCAATACAATGCAAGAGGGAGAAAAACCAATATAAGATGTAAAATATATGCAAAGAATTGTTATACTATTTATTTTTTTTTTATTTTCTTTTTTTTTTTATTTTAACTCTAATTCGATCGTTTATTAGCATATAACATAATTACTTGTGTAATTTTGGCTCAAAAACTAATTAAACACAATCATTTGAATCATTTGTTTAAAATTTAATTCGATAACTTATTTAAGGGCATTCTCAAGTATCTCTCTTAGTTATTTAACAAAAAGCCTTTGTTGAGTCTATTTGAAATGTATTAAGAATGTTCTAATATGATTGGTTATATTATTTATTTAACTCAAATTCATTATTTATTGATCATTTAACTTGATTGCACACCCAACTTCTATTTAGTATTTTAACACAATCACTCATCTAATACCTATATATTTATGTAATAAGCTTAATCACATCTCTAATATAATTTGCTTATTTAGCTTTAGCTTAAATACTCATTCAATATGATACTTATTTGAGATTTAGCTTGATCACTTATCTTACTTGGTGCTTAATTAATCACTTCTCTTATTTGATGTTTAACATAATTATTTATTTTATTTAACATTTAAATCAATTACTTATTTGGCATTTTATTTGATTACTTATTTTATTTTTCATTTAGTTGGTAATTTAACTAAGGCACTCTCAATCATTTCTCCAATATATTCAACAAAGAATTTTGCCATCTGATTACATAGACTTTTGTTGGGTTTATTAAGAAAGGTACTTGAGAGTGCCTTAACATAATCGCTTACTTCGATCATTTATCTAATATGATTGCTTAACCTTATTATTTAACTTGACTATTTATTTTAAGCATACATAAACTAATTTGTCAATAAAGTGAGTAGAGATAGGATCAGCTTAATCCAGCTGGCTCAGTTCAAAAAAAGCCAAGCTAGCTGACTCAAGCCAGCTAGATTAAGCTGACTCAAGCCAACCAGTTCAAGTAAGCCAGTTTAAACCAGACTGACTCCAATAAGTGAAATCTGCGTTATTCTATATAAGGTCCTGAGAACAGGTAAATTCAACATTTCTATCAACAAAGTATCTACAGATCAATAGTAAATATCTCTGTATATACAGGTAAAACACTTTTGGCTAAAACCATAGCGAATCAAATGTTTGCAACTTTTTGCATATTATGGATTCAAAATTAATCCAAAAATATCTTGGAGATGGTCCAAAACTTGTATGTGAATTATTTTGTATTGTTGAAGAACATACACCTTTCATTGTATTTATTGATGAAATTGATGCTATTGAACTAAACGGTATATAAACATGAATCTTATTCTGATTGCATTTATAATTTTAATTTTCATTATTTTATTATTATTATTATTTTATTATTTTAAATTGATTCCATTTAATTATAGATATGATTCCAATTCAGTTGATGAAAGAGAAATTCAAAGAACTATGTTAAAACTTTTGAATCAGTTAGACGGGTTTGATTTTAAAGAAGATGTCAAGAGTGAAAACTTGTAAACCGATCATAGTAAATTATTAAATCAGTTTCCAGGTTTTTACTTTCATGCACTCATATAAATCTAATAGGCTATGTCAGTTGTTGGTGTACTTCAAGATGATACTGATCCAATGGTTAGTGTTATGAAACTTGAGAAAGCATCTACAGAATTATATACAGATATTGGTAATTTAGAACAACAAATTCAAGGAATCAAAAAATCTATAAAATTATTTCTAACACCTCCAGAACATTATGAAGAAATGAGGATTAAACCTCTGAAAGGCATAAATTCTATTGCATGTAGCATAGCGGGCTTCTATTGTGATTGGCCAATTTGTGTATATCATCCCATAATACAGTAAAAATTTTATTAATAAATTCAGTCTATTATCCAATCACAGAAAAAGCCTGCTATGCTACAGCATGTCACATGATATAACTTGAGCTGGCTCAGCTGGTTTTGTCAGCTCAGCTAAAAAGCTGTAGCGGTAGCTAAGCTGACTCACTTTAAGCCAATACCATCCCTATTGGTGAGTTGATCTGAAAACCTTTAATAGTGCTGAGTATTGTACTAGGCACTTGTGCCAGGCACTTTGTGCCAGGCACTTGTGCCTAACTTGTACCACATTTGTGCCTGGCACTTCGTGACCATGCCTTAGTAGTGCTTAGCATTTTGTACCCATGCCTTAGTAGTGCCTAGCATTTTGTGCCCATGCTTTTAATAGTGCCCAGCATAAGCTCCCATGCCTACAGTAGTGCCTGGCATTTTTATGCCTATAGGCATTGGCATGGCATGAGGCACAAGTGCCCAGCATGATGCCTATATGCCTGGCATGAACATTTGCAGACCCCTAGTTATTAGATACAATAAGTTGGTTATAATGTCTTTTGCATAAAGAAAAACTATCTAATTGAATTTGAATCTGATCTAACTTAGAAAAAAAAGTATTATATAGTTGAAAACAGTTATGTTTTGCTTCATTACTTGCATGCTGTTTAACTTGTAATTCTTTAATTTTGTATTCTTTTAATTCATATTTTTTATATAATGGAACTAAATTAGCAAAAACATAGGGCAGGTCTTTTACTTATGGCTGTTAGAAAGGGTTCACTAAAAAATAAATAAATAAATAAATAATAAATAAAAATAAATAAACCTTAATATAATTAACTTCTAAATATAATCTCTAGAGCAGTATTGTTACTAAAAAAACCTTTAAAGCATTACTAAAACTTTTCTACTAGAAAGCTCTAAAATCTACTATAAAAAAAATAACAACTCAGCTCTAAAGCTTGAATCAGTTATCTATTAGATATTGAATTTAATAGTAAAATTCATCAATAGCTATTAAATTTAATATGAAAATAGAATAATGAATCTAAGCATTAGTAATCTCTCTAAATATATATTTTGTGAAAAGTCTTTAAATGTTTTGATAATCTTCCGAATATACATATTACTCAGCTCAATATTATAATATAGCACTTGTAAATTAACTTTCTTAAATGCTCTCAATTAGATCTTTGAACATATGGCTTTGTCATCTTATATTTAGAAAGTTTAACTTGCAAGAAGGTAGTCAAAATTGTTATACACTTTTTTTATAAGAGAGTCTGTACCAACAAAAAAAAAAAAAAAACCAAAAATCTTTTTACTAAAGGTTGTATAATGTCAGAATGGTTATAATAAGCTGCAGAATAGTGAAAACAGCACAAAAATTACAAATAGAAGATGTCTACTTAGTTTTTAAAGAATAAAGTAATGTTTTAGTAATTTAAAAGTAAACTATAATTTACCAATAGAAAATTTTATAACTAGGACTGATTCTAAAGATTTTTAATTAATTATGAAACTACATACTTCGATCTTTCTAGTTTTGCAACAGCTAGTTATATTTCAAGACTATTTCATAGAATATCATTATGTGAAACATTAAAAAAAGCATAAAAATTTAGATAATCAAATGTTAAATGTCTTCATGATTATTCTAGAATGTGATATGTTACATGAAATGTGATCTACTGAATTTGAAAATATCTCTGACTATATAATGATACTGTTATTGCTAATAAACACTTTGGTTTTATACAACTTTATACATGTTACAATAAATTTCTAGCTTATAACTATCTTCTACTACTTTTATATCTACAAACAATTATTTCTTTTCTATAATATATTTATAGTTTTAATTGGTTTCCAAGTAATGCTTATGACTATACTTTAACTATTTCTATTAAAAATAATTGCAGTAAAGCTTATATTTATCTTTCATCTAAACCCAAACCTTTATCTAATTAATTTATTTCATTACTTTAAGCCATTTGGCATTATCCAAACATTTTATTAAAATTATATATAACAAAAAATAATTTTTTTAACTTTACAAATTAATATATTACAATATTAACATCAAACTTGTTACCTTTTACATCTTCAATATCATTTTAACAACCTTAATATTTCTCTATTTTCTTATTATTACTACTTTTATCACAAATTTTTATACTTATGCAAAATTTGTATAACCTGTATTTAAACATTGCAACACATAATGTTCAAGAATTTAACACAATAATCAAAAAAAGAAGCTTGGTAAAACTACTATCTTTATAATAATATTGATATTTGCCTGTATTACTAAAACAAAAATTATCAATACTACTAATCTTCTTTTTGTAACAATAATCTGTTTAACTATTTTTAAGCAAATTCTAAAAATTTTGCAGAAGGTGCTATTATTATAATCTGCAACCATCTTTAACTACAGATACACAACTGCCAAACACATTTTGAAGAAGCAGTAACTTTAGACTTCTTTTTAAAAGTAAAATTAAACTCTGTATTATAGCAGTTTATCTCTTTTCTACTGACACATATTGATATAACAAAACATAAGAAATAGTAATATCATGGATTTAACAAGTTCACTAACTAAACCTTTATTCAATTATTTTTGGTAACTTCAATACATATAATGATATTTGTAGCTCATTATCTAAATTCTGACTCACTAACTACCTACATTAATCCAACATATATGACCTTGGTGCATATGTTAATAACAAACATTATATATAGTTAAAAAATACTAGTTAAAGCTGTATTAACTATATATGAACTGATTTATTTAATATACAGTTCTTTTTCTCTTACAGTCCTAATAATAGTAGCAATCCTATACTAAGTAATCACTTTATACTTTTCTTTTTATAGTTCTTTACTAATGCATTTAGCAAACCTCTATGCTACTATACCAGTATTAGTTATAGAATTTTTAATTACAAGGCTGTTATCAGAAAACTGAACAGAATTTTTTGATCTGCTTTTTTAAAAACTTAATTTACTTAATACTTTATTTGATTACAATATTAATTAAAGCATAGAAACTACTTGGTATAAAATTAAGCATTTAATTATCTATACTGCCATATACTTAATACCTAATAAAAAATTTCACAAATATAGCTACAATTACAATACTTTTTTCATAGCACCTTACTTTACCTATCATTTAAAAAACTAGAACACTTAATCAAAATTGTTAAAGATTTAAATAACAATTTAAATATTAATCAAATTAATTTCAAAATTTAAAATATATATATAAGATCTAATTGTGATCTTCAAATCTTGCTTTCTAACCAACAGCCAGAACTTGAACAATTGACTTAGCATATACAAGATATTTGAAAACAGCTCTATTATGCACACTATCTTGAAAACTTCCTACTACTCTGATAACAAATTTAACAAACTACTGAAAAAAATTTGAAACCCTTTCTAAATATCCTAAACAAGTTATAAACAACATCCTTAATTATTACAAATTGCCTATTTATTTTTTAAATATTAAACTCCCTAACCAACTAGTTACAGAACTACACTTCATTAACAATACATACAATTTTACTTTTTTAACTAAACAGCTTACTGACCAATTGACCAAAACCTATTTAATAATTTTTGGTCTACACAATATCAATCATAAGCATACATTGACATTCAATAGTACAGCTCTCTTATCATTTTTATTACAGAAGAAGAAGTACTTCAAATATAGCAAAACTTCCAAATGGAAAAGCATATGGTTCTACAAATATTAATTATAAAATACTCAAATATGCAGATGCTGTTTGCATTAAAGCTATAACTGACTTATTTAATCATTGCCTTAACTTAAGCCAAACATCTAAACAATAGAAACATAGCAAAATTTATCTTATTTCAAAGTGAAATACATTTAATAAAGATCTTAACCTTATCTGTTTTATAAACCTCATTGAACATATTCATAAAGTCTATACAAAGATTATTACAAACCAAATTAGTACAATATTCTTACAATATCCAATCCTTTCACTATATAATTATATTACTTTACCTAACAATAACACCTTAATAATTATACACATACTCAACAACTTTACTGAAGATGCATTATGCAATTAAAAGTCAACTTGGTTTTTGTTTCAAAATATAAGCAAAACTTATAATTTAGTTAATTTTGATTTTCTTAAATACTCTTTCAGCATCTTGCTCTTCTTTCTACTATTACCAATATTATTATTAATATACTTACTGACTGCTAAAATTAAGTTATTACAAATCTTGGCCTTACCTTTTTATATTCAATACTTAATAATATCAACTAGGAAAAAACTATTATTTTACTTTTATAATGAATATACTATGATCCACTTATCTTATACATTTACAATAAATTTAATAAATACAAACTAAAGTTTTCTGACTAACTAATCTTAAAAATCAAACATTTAACAAACTTGGATCTTACTACTCAGTTCTTGCCTATATAAATAACACTTTATGAATTGCATCTTTATAGCAAAAACTCTTACAAATTCTATTAATAGCAGAATCTTTTTACAACATGGCTAATATTCAAATTAATTCTACTAAATTAATAATTATAACTAACAATCCTCTAACTAATTACAGTCCTATTATTTATAATAGTTATTTACTTAATCTTCATTCTTTAAATAAACTATTTAAGTATTTAAGATGCTAGTTTATAATTAACAACAAACAAATAAAACAAACTAAGCTTATTACAGCTGAATAATCACATCTTGTTAAAATTGCAAGCATCAAAAAAATTACTGACACATATGTACAATATATTATTAATACTGTTATTATTTTTACAATTAAATACCATATTTATAACATTGTTCTTAATCAAAATATATATAACAAAATTTCTACTAATTATATTGGACTTGTCAAAAGCAAAGCCAAACTTAGTTGTATAATTTCTACTAGCATGCTACTCTATCCTCAACTATACAATATTCAAAATATATAAAATATTCAACTTCAATATCATATTACAAACTATACTAAAAGACTTAACTCTTCTGATCTTCTTGTTATTAGTATTTGCATTTAGCTTTAACAGCTTCAAAATAATTTTTGGTTACCTACTAGTATTTTAATTTATAATAATTCTATTATTGAT